ATTAGCCAGGTATAATGGCACACACGTGTAATCCCAGCTACCCAGGAGACTGAGGCAGGAGAATCGCTTAAACCCGGGAAATGGAGGTTGTGGTGAGCTGAGACTGAGCCACTGCACTCCAGCCTAGGTGACAAAGTGAGATTCCAACTCAAAAAAAAAAAAAAAAAAAGCAGCTATTCCAGGATCTCCAGAACAGAAATTTTAAAAAATATATTCACTGAACCTGTTGTTATGATAAAAGCAGGACACAGTGACCCTACAAATTACAGATCACTGAAGACCAAAGTAACAGCATGTGGGCATTATTTCTCAAATTGAAGTGTAAAAAGTATATGAAATAAAGAAATTTAATTGCATGCTTAGGCAAGAAAATATTTTATCTTATTTAATAATCCTAAATAGACTTAGCACAATATGAAAACTATATTATTCATGTAATCAAAATAAAAGGTAATTTTTATTCTAATTTTAACTCAGAAATTATTATGCTTATTTAATTTAACAATTTTACTGAAAGGTTAATGAGATAAGGAGGACAGATTATAATTACCTAATATTGCTGTGGTAACTTACATACCAGTATCCGTCAGTCACCAAAAGTCAAAAAGGCAACCAGCATTGCAACTTAAGATGGATCAAACAACAGGAACCAGTACCAAGTTACCTTGTCTTATAAAATATGTTATTAAAATGAAATTTTAAAACAATATCAAAAATTAAGTTGGGGCCATAAGTCTTGTGCAGAAAAGATTTCATGTAGCAGGCAAGAGACTGCCAACCTTAGAAAGTTCTGCATACAAGGCTGGCCCTTGGCTGGTGTTGAGGAAATTAGAATTGAGAGGGTTTTCACCATTCCCTGAGAAGTGTGGCTCACCATGTCTAAAGTGTTTGTAGAAACAGTGTGGTTGCTCTGAACAGCTGCTTTCCTTCTGGGAGTCTGGAATTTGGGTACAGGTGAGGAGGAGTAACCTCCACAAAAAAAAAAACAAAACTTGGGTACTTAGTCTCCAATGAAACTCTGATACTGGTAGACAACACTGTACATGTGTTGTCAAAATGTGAGGCTGGGAGGAGGCAGATCCCAGGAACTCCACAGGAGAGAACTCCTGGAGGCTTGTGCTGGTTTCCTCCACATTTGACCACATGCAGCTTTTCTCTCTACTAATTTTGCTTGTGTCCTTTCATTGTAATAAATTAAAGATCTGAGTATGATTATTTGCTGAGTCCTGTGAGTCCTTCTAGTGAACCATCAAACCTGGGGGTGCTCTTGGGAATCCTTGACACAAATGCCTTATATGAGATTTTTATTAAGTTGATATAATATATATGACTGTAATCAGATAGTTATTTCACAGAAGAATTTTCCCTAATAAATTTCCCTAATCTTTTCTCTAAAAATAAACTTTCTTTTCTTTTCTTTTTTTCCTGATATTTGACTTGGCGATTCTTGTATTTCTGTATCTATCCAATTGAGTACAGCCATAAAAGAAATAAATAAAACAATGATGTCAGAAAATAAAGTGAAATAAGCAGCAATTATATTTTAACCAGAATAAAAAATGGAGACTCTTGATGACTGACAATACGTTCTACAATATGAATGTTTCTAGAAAAAAAAAAAAAAAAACTATGAAAAGGTGGTCAATTTTCTACAACTCAACTCAGCTTAATTCCTTTTTATAATAATTGTGCAGGCCAGGTGCGGTGGCTACACTTGTAAAATCCCAGCATTTTGAGAGGCTAAGGCAGGAGGGTCACTGGAGACTAGAAGTTCCAGACCAGCATGGGCAATATAGTGAGACCTTATCTATTAAAAAACAAACAAAAAAAAACCTTAAAAAGAAAATTAGCCAAGCGTGGTGGTGCATGCCTGTAGTCCCAGCTACTCAGGAGACTGAGGTGAAAGGTGAAAGGATCATTTAAGGTCAGGAAGCAGAAGCTGCAGTGAGCCAAGAAGGCACCACTGCACTCCAGTACTGGCAAGGGAGGGAGACCCTGTACCAAAAATAAATAAATAAATGTGTATGGGGCCAGATGTAACTGCACATGACTGTAGTCCCAGCTACTCAGGAGGATGAGGTAAGAAGACTGCTTGAGCCCAGGAGTTCTAGGGTACAGTAAGCTATGATTATGCCACTGCAAAGACACTATATTCTAGCCTGGGCAACATAGAGAGACCTTATTTCTAAATAATCATAATTAATTAATTGTGCATCATTCAAGTAACTTGTATAACTAGAGAAAAACATATGATGATACTGGTATAGAATATACTGTAATAGTCTACTACTGATTATAGAATTTCCTCTTACTTGCTTCTAGTCTTTTTCTTATCAAACTAAAAACATGGTTCACCGATTAAAGGCAGTTCATCACAGAACCAGTCAAAAAGTCAAAAGAATTGCATCCAGACTGTAGGATGTGTTATCCACTGCTCCCTGCAAATAGTGTTATTAAGAATCAGCAGGACTTTTAACTTTGTCTCTGTGTGCACACACATGCACATGTGTATGTGTGTGTATATGTGCATGTGTCTGTGTGTGTGTGGGTAAACTGTGACAGATAAGACCATTTTGCTTGTGTAAGAATATGTAACATAACTTGTGTTTCTCACAAAGGAATTGCTTTTCTGTCTTCTGTGCTCAGTAGCTATCTTCAAAAAATAATTTCCTCTTTGTATGGGTGCACACTGGTTCAGTTTTACAGTTCTTATTGCCATGTATTTACGGTACTGGAAGGGATTGCTGAGTTCCCGGTTCTAAAGATAGTTACTTTATTAGTGACACAAATCAATATGTAATACAGTTCACCCTTTAGCAGCAACGGTTTGAACTGCAGGTGTTCACTTACATGCAGATTTTCTTCTGCCTCTGCAACCCTGAGGCAGCAAGAGCTACCTCTCCTTTCCTCCTCATCCTAATCAACCTGAACATGATGAAGATGAAGACCTTTATCAGGACCTACCTATGCTTTATGAAAAGTCAATATATTTTTCCTGATGATTTTCTTTCTAACAGCTTCATTTCTCTAGCTTACTTTATTGTAAGAACACAGTATAGAATAATGTAGCACCAACAAAATAGGTGTTCCTCAACTGTTTGTGTTATCAGGAAGGCTTCCAGTCAATGGTGAGCTATTGGTCACTAAGTTCAGGAAATCAAAAGTTAAAGTTATCCTCAGATTTTCAATTGCACAGGGATCAGAGTCCCTATCCCCCACATTATTCATGGATCAACTGCAATTATTTATTTACTAAATAGAAACAATTTATTATAAAAATAAAATGGAAGATCCATTTGTATCACAAGTCCAATTTGTTATAATGTGTCTATAGAGAAGACATGCAACATACTAACTTAATCTTTTTTCTTATTTATGCAAAAATATTATGTGTGATTTTAGGTATCATAATTAAGCAAATGAAATCTTTTCAGACAATAAGGTTTGAGATGATAAAATAGCTACAACTACTTTCTTAAACAAACCTGAATTCCAAACTAAAGAAGTTAAACAATTAATTTGCATATACATATATACATGATATTCACACATATTTTTAAATTGGTCTTTTTTAATCAAAACTACCTTAATCTTACATCTTACTTCTTTTCTTAATCAAGAGTAGGACCACTAAGAGAAATGAGAAATTCAAGATCGGAAGTCTTACCTGGCTTGTCTTTTTCAAGTATCTTCTTTTTATGTTCCATAATTTGGTTTTTAATTCTATGTATACAAAAGTAATAAATAAAATTGCTATTTTAATACTGAAATAAAAAATATTAACCTAACATTAAATACTTAAACTATTTCAGGCAATATCAGAGCTAATACCAGAATTTTAATGTCCCATACTCTTCAAATTATATATATATATATGGAGAGAGAGAGAGAGAGAGAGAGACCGGGGTTTCTCCACGTTAGTCAGGCTGGTCTCGAACTCCCAACCTCAGGTGATCTGCCCGCCTTGGCCTCCCCAAAGTGCTGGGATTACAGGCGTGAGCCACCGCGCCCAGCCACTCTTCAAATTTTTAAATCTTACAAGCTTATTAAGCTTCTAATTAAAGAATAAAAAAAAGCGAAGTACTCATAAATGGAGAAAGCATAGCTCAGTAAATTAACTATGGTTGGCTAGACATCGTGCAAAGTGTCCTGCATCTCAGAATAAGTCCTTGCCCTGTAACCAATAGGTATTTTGTTTTCAGACAAGTTGCTTAGGTTCCATGGTTTCTTGTAAAAAATAAGCATTTTGCTACCTTACTACACTAGGCTGTTAGGAAGATGTAATGAGATTACATGTTTACATGTTCAGAGAAATAGTAAAGCAATGGAATAATTTATTCTTGAACTTTGTTACTGAAACTATTTTGGAATCCCAAATAAAGCTTGATGTGTGTTTTTCCATAAGTTCTAATATTCAAATGTTGCAGTTTTCAGAAAATGTTATTAAATGCTAATTTTGGTTATTAGTTGTATTCATTGTGGCTTGGATTCAGGGCATTTAGCTAAATCATAACTTATAACTAAATTTATATATATACATATATATATATATTCTCATTAAAATAGATTACCTAATTGTCCCCTATCACTGAGCTCATCAATCACACTAAGGGCAGAAAACTAATAGATGTCAAAACCTGGCTTGGACAGCTACCACACCTTCTTTACCTCCTCAAACTCTGAGCCAGCAGATCTGTGCTAGGATGCTGGATCTCCATGGTCCTCTCCAACTAACATACAAGACAAAATCCTGCTTTTATTGTTTTTCAGTTCCATGAAGGAAATGCAAGTTGACATTTTCTCATTCCCAAGACATGTACTAACAACATGTAACGTCGCATTATTACTCAGCTCTGTTCTCATTTCACAGATCACCGTACATGAATAGTTTTACAGTGATAATCACAATTGCAGTATTGGGTGTCTCCTGTTTTGGTTTGACTCACACTGCTTCCTTGGAGCTAGTCAACAAATAGTCAAATGACCTTCCAGAGACTATGCAAAATGTGGAATGCTTTATGAATTTGTGTGCCATCCCTGGGCAGCAGCCATGCTTATCTGCTCTGTATTGATCCAATTTTAAAATATGTGCTGCTGAAGCAAGTACAAAGCCCTGTTTGATACAAGGATACCCATGAGTCATGGATGAGGCTTAGCTCTGTTAAATCTAACTAACTTACCTTAGATTCAGATAATTTTGTTGAATGGCTTCCTGTGACGTAGAATTTTAAAATGCATTTAAAACTTCAGGAAGAGATGCAAGTAGCCTGGGAGATGTTCATTATTACAGAGACACATTACTTGTGGGGCCAACTGCTAGTTGGTTCCTACTACTCTGTGGAAAGGTAACAGGGAACCTTCTGCTATCTGACCAGAGCTGCTGCACAGAATGTAAAAAAGCCTCAAGGTACAGATGTGATAGCAAAAGGGAAAGGGAACTCTGTTCTCTTCCTGCAATGTGATTTGAACACTCCTGACTGTCGAGAACAATCCCAACTACTATTCGTTACAGAAAAGACAAAGACGGGTCTCAAAGGATAACTTACTATGAAGGCCTAGGCTGAGTCTAGCAAAGAGATGGGCTCCAAATGAGGTTTTCTGTGTAGGGGGGTATCAGTTTGTTCCATATTTGTGTAGGTGAAGCTAGCTGCCAGAGCAGGGTGCTGGGAACAATGGCTGAGCATAAGTACGTAAACTAATAAACACCACAGCTTTGAACACTATGTATGAATCACCATGAAAACTGAGGAGTCTGAATCAGTGCAGGAATCCTGATGGCAAAGGTCAATCATTATCAAATTGCAGGACCAGTTACAATGGCAACAATACAGCAAGTAAATCCATACAAACAATAGCATGATTACAACGGCCTTTTTCCCCTTTTGACTTGTAAAGAAAGATTGGCTTCCCTGGACTTAAGAAACCCCTTAGGTTCTTGGAAAATTCAAAGAAGGAAGACACAGGAGATAGCCCCAGGGGACAATATAAGATTATCTGCCAAACTGGACATTTCAAGACACAATAACTAATTAGAAAAGTCAGGCCAGGCATGGTAGCTAGCACTTTGAGAGGCCGAGGCAGAAGGATTACTTGAGCTCAGGAGTTCAAGACCAGCCTGGGCAACAGAGTGAGACCTTGTCTCTAAGCAAAAAAAAGGAAAGAAAGAAAAGAAAAGAAGTCAAAGATGTGGCTCTATTTTTATCCGATGCATGGAGATTATACTTAAAATAAAATGAACAACATTGAGGTCCCTAGGGATAAAGGTCTTAAAAGTCCTAAAAAAAATCTTGCATTCTGCTTCTAACTAATCTAAGCTTCTGCTTGATTTTTGGCTAAAAAGTGGACTAACTCATTGCTATTTCAAACTGCCTGAACCAAACGATGAGCTTTTGCCTAATGTATACGATACAATGATTGCAATTATTTTAAACATCAACTTAGTATTCACTGGCCTTTTAATATAAACGCTTACCTTGTTGAATCACAAGAAATAGCGTAATCTGCTGCATCTCGTCCATACTTATCTTGAGAAAAGGTATTAATATTTTGCTGAAGCAGGAGGTTGACCGTATCTGGTAAGCCATGATGTACAGCAAGAATGAGGGCTGATCTAAAATAACAAATAACTCCACTCAAGAACTTTAATAAAGACATTTTTAAACAGCTATTTGATACACTTTACCAATACAATATCCCGCCTGTCAGTGCAGCTGTAATAATCATTTATATGGACTAGCTTATGTCAATAAGCATCTTGAGTGCTCAAGTGTTCATCTTTGTAAATTATCACCAAGGCTAAAAGAAAGAGTCAACAAGAAAGCCTCTTGTCCCACTGGGGTATGACATAATACAAGTGGCTAACTTATAGTCCTTTGATGGTCAAGAAACTGTGCTGGGGTCACTTATCTAAAGTAGGCAAATATTTGGATAAAGATTTCCCTATTGCTTTTTCAGTCTGATATATTGTAATTCAAATCAACTGGAAGTCAGAGAATAGTTATCTGCAGGCTGAAAAACAGCAACAACAACAACAATAATAATGGCAATACTAGTAATCATAAACTAAAAGTTCACACTTTAAAACTTGATAAACCTGTCCAAGTGCGGTGGCTTATGCCTGTAATCCCAGCACTTTGGGAAGCCAAGGTGGGCAGATTACGAGGTCAAGAAATCAAGACCATCCTGGCCAACATGGTGAAACCTTGTCTCCACTAAAAATACAAAAGATAGCTAGACCTGGGTGGCCCATGCCTATAATCCCAGCTACTTAGGAGGCTGAGGCAGGGGAATCACTTGAACCTCGAAGGCAGAGGTTGCAATGAGCCAAGATCGCGCCACTGCACTATAGCCTGGTGACAGAGTGAGACTCCATCTCAAAAAAAAAAAAAAATTAATAAAACTAATACAAAACCCTTTAGCCAGTATAAGATTACAGGACCCAACACATCAGATTATAAATAAGAAACAGCATATTATAAGAGAAGATGAATTCTACTACATACTGTTCTTTACATTGCTCAGTCCAAATATTTGCTTTTCTACCTGATTATTCATGTTATTTTTTACTATATGCCAATAATTATGTTAATATTCTTATTAATATTTCTGACTTGAATGACTATTACCACTAGAACACTCAGGTTTTTATTTAAAAAAAAACACAAAAACTACTGTACCGTCTCAGCCTATTCACAGCATGTACATTGGCTTGTCTTTTCACTAAAAATTGCACCATTTTCTCTTTCTTGCAAATTACAGCGAATAAAAGTGGTGTGTTTCTGTCCTATAAAACAGTAGAAAAAATTAATAATTCACAAAATTACATATTTCTCAACTGAACTGAAAACCTTCTCTGAGATGCTTTGAACTTCAGCATACAATATAGAAAGGAAGTGAATGAAAAGCAGTCCCTTCCTTCTCACGCCTCTGTGCTTTCTGAGGCGCTGCTCTTTGTGTCGCAAACACACTTCCTCTTTCTCCCTGCATTGACTGTGGTCATCGCCAAAACTCACTTCGAACATTGAGCAGTCCCAAGAATCCTTTCTTTTATCACAGCACTTTAGCATGGTATATTGTAATCATTTCAGTGTTTCCCACAGAAACCAAGAGCTTCTTGAGGGCAAGGGCTGTATCTTTTGTCTCTATAGCCCCAAAAACCTAAGACATAGTAGCAAGTACTTCAAGTTTTTTACATAAATTAATAATCTAAATTACTATCTCTAAAGCGTGTTTCTTAAACTATATTCCAAAGAATATTTGCTTTACCAGAAGTTTTATACCCCAAGGGAAAGACCCCATGACCATCTGCATTTGAGAAGGATTACAAAACTGCATTTTATGTCCAACAATCAAGAAAGCTCCTGAACTTTACCTAATCCCCATTTGACAATACTTTTTTTGGGAAACATTAATATTTGAGAAATTAAGAGTTTCAGAGATACAGTTGCCAGCGCTTCCCAATACAGACGAAGCTTTCCTCTGGGTGGTGCAAACTTGCTTGATTCATTTCTATCAGTGGTGTCAGGATCCCAGATGCCAATGTTAGGTACTCCTGCTGCAAATAGGTCACTAAAGAAATGAGCTCTCAATTCAGAGAGTTTGGCTTCAAATGCACTTATTTTCCTTATTATTAAATAGACCATAGGGTTTTTTTTTCCTAATACAAGAGAATAGATTTTTATCTTGACTGTTAGAAAGCTCAGTATGTTCTGTGTAAGAAAGGTAGGTTTAAAAAACTTAAAATCAAATGCTTAAAGCTGAGTAATAAATTATATTCTCAATTATAATGGTAATCCTGGGACCCTACAGCAATTCTACTTTTTAAATCCACTTTTATTGCTTTCCATTAACTGGCTATTTTAAATTATTTTTATTTTAGGAAAAATATAAATCAGAAATAAAAATATAATGGCTTATTAATAAAAGTTCTCATACTGATCCATACAGATTATTTCTAGCATAATAAAAGCCAATAAGTCACTTGCATTTTTAAGGAAGATTGCTGAGGAGAAAGACGTAATATCTGCAATATTCATAAACTATCCAACTACAGCCAGGAATAACCTAAAAAGGTTTCCAGGCATTCTTATGGGCAGATGATTATTTGTGGTATATATAAATAAAAAGAGTTTTAAAAATTCTAAATTCTAAAATTCAACCCCATGACTGAGGGGTTTATATAATCTATAGACTACATATTATAAACAAATACATGCTGACTTAAAAACCTTGAAATCTTTATCAAAATATTCTACAACAAAGGAATTATACATTCAAATACTTACAAGAACAAAGGAAGGTTAACCGAGTAAGGGAAGTACTGAGGTGTGCACAGTCGCAAACTGAAGAATACATGCCTTCCGTAATGGGGCAACCTCTGCACAGCAGACCAAACAGTGATAGAAACTCAGGGGACACCAGATTTGATTTTTAAAGACAAGCCTGAAAGTCCAGATTTCTGCACCAATCTTCTAAATTTTACGTGTTGACTCAATATATGGAGGCAAACAAACAAATCTGTGTACCACATTAGAATACAGCCCTTGCGTTTTTATATTTGCTATGAATGTGTTACTAAATGGTTGTGTATAATCCAAGTATTTACATGTAAAATATTTTATTTCTCTAGTAACATATATTTTACCAAAAAATCAGGCCCTCATATATAATAAAAATTACTAAAAAGACTCATATGCCCACTTCAGTAATGTTTCCAACATTTATTCACTTAAAATCTATTTGTATATACTTTTCCCAGATTGCTAACCAAATAGATAATTAGTTCATAGGACTGCTAAAACTAAATAATTAAAAGAATACTATCTTTATTCTTATTAACTTTACAGATTTCAGTTTTGAAACTGACATCCTGATTATGCTAAAGCTTTATAAATTCAAAAGACATATTAAGATAGTTCATCATACAACTTGAACTGAAAAAAAATGTTTAGGATTTGCTCCTGTTCTAATTGAGAAACCCCAACTTGCAATGAACACCTGTTGACACATAATCGCCTGCACGGTGACAAAGAGACATGAAATCAGGAAAGGGTCAGCCTCTACTTATTGAAAGATTACCCATAAGCAAATTTCTAAAGACTCTCTGAA